TTGGTGATAGGTTTATAGATTAGCTAAAGGAATGAGAAAGTAAAAATCATCGAATTCTAACATAGTTCACTAAAACCATTGTTTCTTCTATCAATGTATATTTTGAGTAATTTGAACTTGCTAAAGATGCTTGAGATTTTCTTGCTGTATGATATAGCTTTACTACCTTTACTCATTAATATCATAGTTTGATCACTTTATCTCACCTTCATCAAGAACTAAGTTAGTCGATTGATGATTTTCATTCTAAAATATAATATTTATGGGACATACTTAAAAATTATGAACCGAAATTCAAAGATAAAAATGATGCTAGTAATTTTATTACTTATCAAAATCAAATTTATCTTATTCAATTTCTAATGGCACTTCGATATGAATTTGAGAATGTTAGGTATTCACTTTTATACCGACATCCCTTACCAACTATAGATAATATTCTTATGAAATTGATATCTAAGAAAACTTGATTGGGTATGAGTTAGACTCATAGTGTTGATATTATTATTACTATTGCTCTTAAGAAAAGTACCAGTTCTATGTTTCACAAGTCTTGTTTATGATATAGGAGGACTAATAATCCCATTTAGAAATATAGAGCTAAATATCATTATAATGGTAGTCTAATTCATGATCCTTGCACTAACAAGATTGTTGCGGCAACAACCACTAAACCAAACATTTATGAGTATTTTTTTTAGACTATTACAATCTTAACTACTGATCTTCAAACTTTATTCAATCAAGTGCTATCTTGATCTTATATTTCTACCATGTTTATTGCTACATCAGGTAATATTTAGTTGTTTGACACTACCTGTGGAAACATATGACTATTGACCCTTCTTTGTTCAAAAGTAAGATACCTGTACCTAATGGTCTATTCACTAAAACAATAAATGGATCTATCTTAAAAGCTAGTCACATTGGTGATATTGAAACCTTAAAATTATGTATATTTGACACTTACCTTGTTCTTAATCTTGCCTTAAATTTACTTTTTGTTGGCTAACTTTGTGACCTTGGTCTTGATTTGAATATTTCACAATGATATGGTTGTACTGTGCAGGATTTTCAAATAGGTTAGAAAGTTAAGACAAGGCATAAGGTTAGAACATTGTTTGAGCTTGAACTTTGAAAATTTCACAACATTTGCTTGTTGTTACTACATCTCAAACAACCAACTTTTTAGTTTTTTTAGATTTTTGACATTCTAGGCTAAGACATGCATTTATTTCTCGAATAAAGTTACTTGTTTCCACTGGTATCTTAGGTAATGTTTCTCATGATATTTTGATTGTTTGTCTTATCAGCTTGGAAAGCAAAGTGTTTTACCTTTTAATAAAAATGATTATATCTTATATGTTCCTTTTGATTTAGTCATTTCTGATATTTGGGGTCCAGTTCCCACATTAATTTTAGGAGTTTCATGTTACTTTGTTATATTTATTGATGATTTTTTTCATTATACTTCGATATATTTATTCAAACAAAAAATTAAACTTTTATCCATTTTTGGTGAATTTAATAACACGATACAAACTCAATTTTTTAGAAAAATAAAAATATTTAGGTTTGACAATGCTACTAAATATATAGAAATTGAGTTTTATAACTTGTTAAAAGATGATGAGACTCTTTCTCATAGGTCTTGCTCATATACTTCACAACAAAATGATCGAGCTGAGAGAAAATATCGTCATATTCTTGACACAATTCATGCCTTTCTCATTTCTTTTTCCCTTCCTAAACATTTTTAAAGTGAAGCTACTTTCATTGCTGTTTACATTATTAATCGTGTTCCCACACCAATATTAAGCACAGGTTTCTCTATGATTACCATTCTCTCAACGTTTTTAAATGTGCTTACTTTGTTCTACTTCCTACTCATAAAAGGACTAAACTTGAACATAGAGTTAGATTATGTTATGTTTTGAGTTATGGTATAGAACACCGGGATATAGAAGTTATAATCTAATGTTTGAATGTTTTCGCATCTTAAAACATGTAGTTTTTTAATAACATAAAAAGTTCACTAATGTGCCTTCATTACATTCACCATGTTCTTCTTCATGTATTTTTACAAATTTATCTATTGATTTTTCTTTAAATGAAAAGACTATTATAGGTACTTTTGACTCAAACAGTGATATATCTTTTTTCACTCCTACTATGTTTGATTTGACTAAGGCTCTTATTGATATTGTTGTTTTTTCACCATACATACCACTTTTACTTTATCGTTCCACCTGGGTAAAGGAGCCCAACACTTAACTTTGTGATTTTTACTATTATTATACTTTAGCCACGTTACATGAACCTTACAATTTTTGTAAAGCTATCTTTAATCCTATGTGGCAACAAGCAATAGCAGAAGAGCTTTGTGTTCTTGAGAAAACTCATACTTGGGATATTGTTAAATGACATTTTGATAAGTTAGTGATTGATTGTAAGTGGGTTTACAAAATCAAGTAGATCTGATGGGTCAGTGGAACATTACAAAGCTTGTCTTGTTACTCGAGGATTTACACAATAATATGTCATTGACTATAAAGAGACTTTTACCCTAGTTGCATGTCTCACATTTATTTGTTCACTATTAGCTGTTACTATAGTAAAAAGTGGCCAACCTTTCAAATGGATGTTAAAAATGCCTTCTTGAATGGTGATCTCATCGAGGAAGTCTATATGAAGCCACCTCCTAGTTCATCTATACCTTTCAACATGGTCTTTTGTCTTTGACGTGCTTTATATGGTCTTAAATAAGCCCTTAAAGCTTGGTTCTCAAAGTTTAGTACCACTATTTTACAATTTAGTTTTACATTTAGTAATCATGATTTTGCTTTTTTTACTCGAATTATTAAAAATGGTACTACTTTTCTCTTACTTTATGGAGATAACATGATCATTACAGGTAATGACGCAAATTGTATTTAAGATCTAAAGACTTTTTTCATTTTAATTTTGAGATGAAAGATCTTGGTTCTTTAAGTTATTTTTTGGGCTTTGAAGTTACTAATGATTCTATTGGTTTGTATTTGTCTCAAACAAAGTATGCTTCTAGTCTTATTGCTTGAGCAGATTTAACTGATAGTAAAATTGCATCATCACCAATTGAATAGAATTTAAAGCTTTCTTTTTCTGATGGTACACCACTTCCAGACCTTTTTTGCATCAAACTTTGGGGTAGTTTGGTATAGTTGACAAATGCTCATTCAGATATTGCCTATGCTATACATCTTGTTAGTCAATTTCTATTTTGCTTCTTGATTTACTTATTTTGTTGTTGTCCTTTGAATCCTATGATATGTCAAGGGTACTATGTTCCATGGTTTGCATTTTTCCTATAGTTGCTTTTTGGACTTGCATTGTTATTGTGATGCTGATTGGGCAGGAGATCCTACTGATTATCATTCTACCACAGGCTATTATTTTTTTTTTTGGTTATTCTCCTATTTCTTGGCGAAGTAAAATAGAAACTATGGTGTCTTACTCTAGCATTGAAGTTGAGTATTGAGCTCTTGCAGATGTCACATCAAAACTTCTATGGTTATGATGGCTACTGCAGCATATGGGTGTTTCTCATTACTCTACTATTCCTATATTTTTTAATAATCAAAGTGCTACTCAGAATGCTCATAATGATTGTCTTCATAAGCGTACTAAACATATTGAAATTGACTGTCAATTCATTCATCACCATCTACTTGCTTAAACTCTTTGACTTATTTCTGTTACTAGTGCTGATCAAAATGCAGATGTACGATGTTTTTCATGAGCGTACTAAACATATTGAAATTAATTGTAAATTCATTTGTCACCATTTGCTTGCTCAAACTCTTCAACTTGTTCCTGTTACCAGTGCTAATCAAAATGTAATTATCTTCACCAAATCACATCCACATGGTCATTTTCTTGTTCAAGTTTCCAAATTCAAGTTGGCTTCTACATTACTATCTTGAGTTTGCCGAGGGGTTGTCAAAGATATTCTAATAATATTATGATATTCTAATAATATTCTAGATTGATGATATTATTCTAATAATATTTCAGTAATATTTTAGATCAATTTTATATTGATTTAGAGAATATTAGATATTGATTTAGCTTATTATAGGAATTGATTTAGTCATTATTTTTATTTTGTAACATTTTAACTCTGTATAAATATACTTTAAGTCTCATTGTAATATGTAAGTCATTACAATAAGGTTTTCATCATTTTCTTCTTTTTCATTATCAAGTCCAAAATCAAATAACCTTTGTTTTTTTAATCAACCAGTTCAATGAGTAACAACATTTGCTTAAGGATAAACTCCCTAATTTGATTTAAAAAGTTATTTATTTCACGATTACAATTGCAGATCTAAAACCCTCCATGCTTAATTATTTGGAGATGACATGAATTAATCTACGAAAATACATGTCCTAATTCCTTGTAAAAAATTATTATTGATATGTAAATCTACTTTTAAAAAATGCATCATTCATTCAGGGAAAAAGAAGAAATTTCCATTAAGGAGCCTTTTCTTCATACTACTAAAGGAGGTTCGCCTTTTTCCCCCGGCCACTTAACAATTTCTTTCAAGCGACAAAAAGTAGAAAACAAGAAGGCTTCCACTATAGCAAATTCACGTGTATGAAAGACGTTCATTTTTTTCTTCAAATTTGGAAAAAAAGGGATTTAAATTTAAATTATTTAATAAAAAAATATATGCATTTATTGTCAGTAGCAGATCCAATTTTTTTTTTCAAAAATTTTTACTTATAATATATATACATATATATATAAATTATTAATGGATTTACCAATTTTGTTTATGGAAAGAGAGTAAAAAAAAAGTTGTTGATATCCACGAAAAATTTTTCTTCCAATTTTTTTTGTTTTTCAATTTTTGGTTGACTCAATTTTTTTAATGGGATGAAGTATTAGCCTATAAATATGATTCAACAAAACAGACTAAAACCTCACATTACAGTACTTTGGAATCTTTCAAATTATGGCTACTCGTAGCTTTCATGCTCATCATTTCCTTCATTTCGAGTTTTACTTGTTCTTATTTTATATTGTTCCTTCACTACATGCAATACAATTCAGCTTCCAGGGTTTCTCACCTAATAACCTGGCCACAAATGGCAATGCTTACATCATGGATGGTGAACTATCGCTCACTGAAAACCGAGTTGATACTACTCTTAAATATAGCGTTGGTCGTGCTATATTTCCCAAGGAAATGCTTCTCTCAGACCCTGTCACGGGTGTGGCAACAGATTTTATTACACATTTCTCCTTCAACATATCAACGCTCAACAAGCAAGATGGAGGGGATGGCTTTGCATTCTTCATTGCTCCTAATGGCATAAACATTCCAGCTGAAGCTCGGGGAGGATGCATGGGGCTAATTAGCAACTGTTCTAATTTCAATGCATCCCAACTTGTTGCTGTTGAGTTTGACACTTTCAAGAATGAGTGGGATCCAAGTGACATTCATTTGGGTATAAATATAAACTCCATCAGATCAGTAGCCACCGTGAAATGGGATCAAAGCATGAAAAATGGATCCTTAGGAAATGTATGGATCACTTATGATTCTCGAACGAGTAATTTAAGTGTCTTTCTAACATTCCTGGGAAATCCCATTTTTATTAAGGGGAAGAATTCTAGTCTTTCACATCCAGTCAATCTGTCAGAAGTTTTAACAGAGAGGGTCAATGTTGGATTCTCATCTGCTACTGGCAATTTCTCTGAGATGCACTATATTCTTTCGTGGGAGTTTAATTCAACAAAAAATCAAGGAGGAGCACATGTTGGACCGATAGTAGCAGCTGGTGGTGGATCTGTTATTGTAGTTGTGACAATTTTAATATTGGTGTTTTACAAGTGGAAGAGAAGTCAAAGCAAGAAAAAAGAGGATTCCGAACAAGAAGATTTCATGGACCAGGAATTTGAATATGGAAGTGGACCAAGAAGGTTTTCTTATGATGAATTGGTTCAAGCTACAAATAACTTCAACCAAGAAAGAAAACTTGGTGAAGGAGGCTTTGGGGGAGTTTATAGAGGCTTTCTCCCTGTTTTGAATTTAAACATTGCGGTGAAAAGGGTCTCTAAAATGTCAAAACAAGGAAGAAAGGAGTATATGGCAGAGGTCATGATTATTAGTAAATTGAGACATAAGAATCTGGTGGAACTTATTGGTTGGTGTCACGAGAAGGGTGAGTTCCTTCTAATTTATGAGCTCATGCCCCATGGCAGCCTGGATTCTCATCTTTTTGGAGATCAAAATCACCTATCATGGGAACTTAGGTACAAGATAGCCCTTGGTTTAGCCTCTGCAATACTCTATCTTCAGGAAGAATCGGAACAATGCGTGGTACATAGAGATATCAAATCAAGCAATATAATGTTGGATTCAAATTTCAATCCCAAGCTCGGGGATTTTGGTTTGGCAAGGTTAATGAGCCAAGAATCAGGACTCGAGATGACAGTCTTGGCTGGAACATTTGGTTACATGGCACCAGAATACGCTAGTAAAGGACAGGTCAGTAAAGCATCAGATGTCTTTGGCTTTGGGGTGGTGGCCTTAGAAATTGCAACTGGGAGGAGAACAATGGAGCACAAAAATGAAGAGGATCCTGTCTCATTGGTTGCTTTGGTATGGAACTCGTATGAAAATGGAATGCTTCTTGAAGTTGCTGACGAGAAATTGTGTATGGAATTTGATATGGAACAGATGGAGTGCTTGATGATTGTCGGATTATGGTGTGCTCACCCTGATCACAATCTTAGACCATCTATAAGGCAAGCTTTACAGGTTCTAAATTTTGAGGCACCATTACCAAATCTTTCCAAAAAGATCTCTGTTCCCAACTTTGATGTACCTATGTCTCCGTCGAGTTCATCCAAGCTCGAAATCACCAATTCTGTTGTTATAACGGGTCGGTAGGCGATACTCATGCTATATAGGATCTTCAGGTTTTTCTTCCTAATTTCTTTAGTATGATATATAGGAAAATGCCAAGGTTAAACATAATTTGGTTTCACTTCTGTCTATGACTCAGCAGATTTGATTTGGGTGCTTTTGTTATATCCTACTTGCTTTCTTTGCAATATTTTTATTGCAGCTTGCTATTGTAATAATTTTATAGTAGGCATGTCTTGCTTAATTATAGATATATAAAATTTACACTTCATTAGAATAATAAAAAAAAAAAAAAACAAAAAAGGGGTTCAACTTATAATTTCTACTCTATCTCCCACATGCAATAATGCACGAGTTACTGCTACTTAATTCTTTAGCTAAATTATATAAAATTATGCATATATAATTGAAACATTTTTAACTTGACATGGTTCAACAGATATGACATAACATAATTTTAGCAATATATTACTTTTTTCTGGCAAATTTGAAGGCAGTCACTTAAATCCAGTACAAGTGATCAGTGTGGGATATACAGAGTTTCAATAAAGATTTTATTCGGTTCAAATCATGCGATTTTGTTTTTGTGCCAAAAAAGAAAAAGGGAAATTAAAAGCTTCTTTCCTTCTTCACACTTGACAGCCCAACCATGTAAATTCGATGCAAGGAAGGCCATGTTAGCCACTTCGACGGAAAATTGAAGTCAATCACGGAACCTTGCTGGAGACGCATTATATGGAGTTGTGGGGCTTAGTTGACACTTTCTGTTTCTTCCAAGCAGTTGACACCTTTAACAACTTATCCAACCCCCTGTTCGCCCATTAAAATTTATTCAGACCTAAAATAATAATAATAATAATAATTATTATTATTATTATAGGTTTAAATTTTAAAATTAAATAAAAATGTTTTTTTATTATTAATAAAAAAATTTTTTAAGATATTTTATTATTATTAAAATATCTTGTCCAATGCTCAACTTAAGTGTAATTTAGCCCGTAAACCTAGCAGGCTGTCTGATCAGTAGACACGTCTAATTGAATTCATCAAGGAAATAGAAGAAATTTGTTCAGCTGTCTTTCTAGTTCTTAGCGGACGCATATAAGAAATAGAACCCCAAAATTTTCACGGAATGCAGCAGCTTGAAAATCGTTGTTGAAGTAGAATCCTAGTGAATTACTCAAACCCTCTTTTTTGGTAAACAAAGCAACCTAAATTAAAAAAGGAAAAAGCCTTCTTTAACCTTTTTCTGATCTATCGTTGTCTTGAGAAATTCCAAAGATTCAACTGAGGAAACAGGAAGTCTTCTCCACTTCTTATCTTTGGAAAAAATTAAAGTAAAGCCAACTATAATTGAGAGGAAATTATAAAGTGATAAATTTAAAGCAACTTTTCTCTTGCAGCGGATGACTGCAAGCAAACACGACAATATATGGTGAGCCTTCGGTCCATGGACAGTAACACATGCTAGTCTTTCCTTTAATCGAAAATCAGAGGAGGATACCATGTTTGAGGCAAAATTGTTCATAGACATTCCAAAATTAGAAAATAAAAAAAAATTAAAAGAAAAAATTTCCTAAATACTCTAAAATTTTTTCTTTGAACATTTTTTTATCAATATAATTAGTAAATTCGTTGACAGTTATGTCTTTAACAAAGAGTGATTTATGGAATAAAATTTTGAATCTTGGTTGAGTACTGTTTAGTTTACATATTCTATTAAAAAAAAGATGCATTTGATAGTATTAATAATTATATAATTATATATATATTTTCATATATATATATTATGAGAATTGAGGATAATTGTAATAATATAGTAATATATTATTATTAATATTCGATTCACTTATACTTGAAAATATGAAAAAAAGCATTCAAAATATTTCATAAACAAATTTAATTATTTATTTATATTTATTTATTAAATTTAAAAAATAATTATGAAGAATATTTCAAAATTTATTAATTAAAAATAGATCACAAACATAACAAAATTTATTTATATACAATTCTTTTATGCTGCTTGCCGAGTTTTTAATGAGATTATCAATAAAAATTGTGTGTAATTTTGACGCCCAAACCTTGCGACTGGCAACCTTGTATTGATTATTCCCTGAAGTGATATTTGCACCCACCTTAGATGATCCAAGTTACTTGACTGTACGTTTTCTGTAGCTTATGTTCCTAACTGTAAGTTGTAAACACCAATTTTTGTTTGGATAAATCTGATTTTTATTCAGAATTTCGACTTGCACAATTGAGACATGTTTAAACATTTTAATTAGGTTCATTAGACTTAGTTCTATTGTGATCACATTTTCAATATCAAAGCCTAAACCCCATTTATGAAGCCCAATAAGCCCAAGTTTGTTAATTATCTTTAAAAAAAAAAGAGAAGAAAAAAAATCTAAAAATGAAATTAAAATATTAAAAAAAAAAGAAAAAAAAAAATGAAACAACGGTAGGTGCCATGCATGGCACTGCTTAGTCCTTTCTACTCTACTCAACCACCCCAGATAACCACTTCTATAGCTAAATTTCAGCTGTCAGCAACCTTGCCTCTCCCATGTTCCCTAGTCCTCTTGTCTTTTGGGTCTTTCTATATATCTCAAATCCTTTACAAGATAACAAATAGATAAACAAAAAGAAAGAGGCTAATTTGAACACGGGAAAACTCTGCAAAAAATTTCTCCACCAACACCAACTTAAAAAAAAAAAAAGCACACGCCCATTGCAACCACCACCACACCTTGTGCCACCGTGGCTATCCATTGTGGAAAAAGAGCAAACACGAAAAAAACCAACAAAAAACCATTCGAGAAAAAAAAAAAAAACAAAAACATATTCGGCTTAACCACTAAAAAATCCACAAATCACCAAAAAAATAAAAGAAAAAGAAAATCACATCCTCTGAGGAGAAGAACAACAATGCCAAAGCCAAAGCAAAAAAAAAAAAAAAAAATCAAAATAGAAAACAAAAGAGGTGTTTTCGACCTAAGGAGTTTCAGGTGGATTGCTATTTTTGGAGGGGAGGTAGATTTTGGCTTAAGGAACAACATAGTTAAAACTCAAGGTGTTCAGTGTGGCAAACTGAGATGTCCAATCTGACAAAGATCAATAGCTTTTGGGTTAGATCTAGGGCTTTTGTGGCTGTTTTAGGCTCAACTAAGGTCAAAAATAGGTAAAGGACATCAAGGGAAATTTTTGGGTGTTTTTGGGAGCTAACTATTGTTGGTGATCGGAGGCAGATGGTGCAGCAGACTGGCATTGAAATTTGAAAAGTGAAGTTATTAGCCATTTGATTCTTTTTTTGAAAGATTTGAAGGTTTTTTTTTTTTGCTAGAAAGCTTTAAAATGAAGTAAAAAAACTTAGTTTTTATTAAAAAAATAGTGTGTGGACCCAACACGTGTATGCTTGATTGACCTGGTGCCACCCTCTTCAATAACCTTCAACCGATCTAATTGAATCGGTTTGAACTATTACTGAACCAATTGTTGAATCGTAGAAGAAACAAAAGGAAAAGCTCCCCAACCACTAGTCGAACTAGGAAAAATCGGTCTAGCAACAAACTGGCCAAAGAACCACTGAAACCAGCATATTGACAAACTTTGATTGGTCTTTTAGGGTTTTTTTAATTAATTATTTTATTTTATTTTTTAATATATCTTTTGTTAAGTTATCTATTTGCTCATATATGTATATTTAATTTTTAAAAATAAAAAATGAATATTTGTTAAAAAGTGCTAAAAAATGTATTAAAAAGACAAAAAATTAAAATTAAAATTTTTCAATGACGAGACATTAAAGATTTTCGAGTAGTGATTTTTTAAAAATTTTTAAGTGATAATATTTTTCTAAAATGCTACCAAAGTACTAGAATATTTAGAAATATATTCAATATAAAAAAGTTTTCATTAATTGTTTTTCTTAAATAAAAAATAGAAACACAATAAGAAATAAAAAATGAGTTTTTTTTTTTAGTAGTGTATGATTATCATTTGCATAAATTTACTTTTGAAAAATAAACACGAGTCTCCAAGTATAGGATTCTTAAAATGTCCGAGTAATAAGTTTTAAAAAATCTTAATGTGAGAAATTTCCTTAAAATATTATCAGCGTATTGAAATATTTTTTGGAACTTTCCAATAATAAGGTTTTAGTTTATTTTTCTCAAAGAAAATAATAAAAATGAGCTAAATTTGTGATGAATAAAATAAATCAAGGAAATTATTGATAAATACCAAACTTAAGACCAGTTTTGTCAAAATTTAAAAGATAATATATAATTAATTGGTGCTATTTTAAACGAGAGTCATGGGAGTGCTAATATTTTCCTACACATAATCGACTCTTGAATCAAACTATTTCATAAACCAAAAACTTATCTTTTTAATAAAGTTTTAATTAATTTAAAAATTTTATTAAGAATGTAAGTTTTAATAGGTGGCCAATCACACCTAATCAAAAAATATTGATGATAATTCTTTTTGTTTTTAAATTTGTTTAGTGACCTTAAAATCGTTACAACAACTTGGCAATTCCATTGGGGACTAAATATTTTTTTAGAGTTAGGCCAAAAAATTAATTATGTGTTATTTTTAATTTTGATTTAATGGTCTTTATTGGTATTTAATTTTAATTTTCTTGATTTGGTTTTTGTTTCCTTAAAAAATAATAATAATAATGAAAAGAAAAAAGCACTTGCATTTTATTTGTTCATTATTTATTTTACTTTTCTATATATATTATTTTAATAAATTGTGGGGTATTTAGGATAAGGATTGTAATGTTATTTTTTTTTCACACACGTGATGACACATTACATTTCATATATAAGCTCTATATTCGGGCTCTGTCCATTGTAAGTGGAAGGAAAATATTTATACTCTCTTAAAGTGATAACTTTTGCAATGACAAGTGAAATATTTTCACTCAAATTGAACATTTTCCATTCATAGCTTGTGATGGGTAAGGATTAGGGTGTCTTACTAGTATGACAAGAAGGAAAATAAGGAACAAT